TGTTACTGTATCCTCCAGCCGGCAGTGATGTTACTGTATCCTCCAGCCGGCAGTGATGTTACTGTATCCTCCAGCCGGCAGTGATGTTAATGTATCCTCCAGCCGGCAGTGATGGTTACTGTATCCTCCAGCCGGCAGTGATGTTACTGTATCCTCCAGCCGGCAGTGATGTTACTGTATCCTCCAGCCGGCAGTGATGTTACTGTATCCTCCAGCCGGCAGTGATGTTACTGTATCCTCCAGGGCCCGGGAGTGATGTTACTTTTTCCTCCAGCCGGCAGTGATGTTACTGTATCCCCCAGCCGGCAGTGATGTTACTGTATCCTCCAGCCGGCAGTGATGTTAAATGTATCCTCCCGCCCCGGGAGTGATGTTAATGTATCCTCCACACGGTAGTGATGTTACTGTATCCTCCAGCCGGGATTTATGTTACTGTATCCTCCAGCCGGCAGTGGGTGTTACTTTTATCCTCCAGCCGGCAGTGATGTTACTGTATCCTCCACACGGTAGTGATACTGTATCCTCCACACGGTAGTGATACTGTATCCTCCACACGGTAGTGATACTGTATCCTCCACACGGTAGTGATACTGTATCCTCCACACGGTAGTGATACTGTATCCTCCACACGGGAGTGATACCCGTATCCTCCACACGGTAGTGATACTGTATCCCACACGGTAGTGATACTGGGATCCTCCACACGATAGTGGATAAATGTATCCTCCACACGGTAGTGATACTGTATCCTCCACACGATAGTGATACTGTATCCTCCACACAGTAGTGATACTGTATCCTCTGCACGGCAGTGATGTTACTGTATCCTCCACACGGCAGTGATGTTACTGTATCCTCCACACGGCAGTAATGTTACTGTATCCTCCACACCGCAGTGATGTTACTGTATCCTCTACACGGCAGTGATGTTACTGTATCCTCTGCACGGCAGTGATGTTACTGTATCCTCCACACGGCAGTGATGTTACTGTATCCTCCACACGGCAGTAATGTTACTGTATCCTCCACACCGCAGTGATGTTACTGTATCCTCCACACGGCAGTGATGTTACTGTATCCTCTACACGGCAGTGATGTTACTGTATCTTCCAAACGGCAGTGATGTTACTGTATCCTCTACACGGCAGTAATGTTACTGTATCCTCCACACGGCAGTAATGTTACTGTATCCTCCACACAGTAGTGATACTGTATCCTCCACACGGCAGTAATGTTACTGTATCCTCCACACGGCAGTAATGTTACTGTATCCTCCACACCGCCAAATGATGTTACTGTATTTCCCCCACACGGCAGTGATGTTACTGTATCCTCCACACGGCAGTAATTGTTACTGTATCCTCCACACCGCAGTGATGTTACTGTATCCTCCACACGGCAGTGATGTTACTGTATCCTCTACACGGCAGTAATGTTACTGTATCCTCTACACGGCAGTAATGTTACTGTATCCTCCACACGGGAGTAATGTTACTGTAAACCTCCACAACCCGTAGTGTTTCTGTATCCTCCACACGGCAGTAATGTTACTGTATCCTCCACACGGCAGTAATGTTACTGTATCCTCCACACGGCAGTAATGTTACTGTATCCTCCACACAGTAGTGATACTGTATCCTCCACACGGCAGTAATGTTACTGTATCCTCCACACAGTAGTGATACTGTATCCTCCACACGGCAGTGATGTTACTGTATCCTCCACACAGTAGTGATACTGTATCCTCCACACGGCAGTGATGTTACTGTATCCTCCACACGGCAGTGATATGTTTAGTTCCGAAAGACCTGGCGATTTCTTTAATAATTCTGAAGTAACAACGACGACGTCCAAGTTGGTCATACAAAACTATGATGTATTCAGTTACTTGTGTTGTCAAGAACCAGACGATGGTGGATGTTGTGGGTCACACAAGTAATGGTGGCAGTGTGTGGATGTTGTGGGTCCACCAAGTAATGGTGGCAAATGTGTGGATGTTGTGGGTCACCCAAGTAATGGGGCAGTGGGGTGGATTTTTGTGGGTTCACACAAGTAAAGGTGGCAGTGTGTGGATGTTGTGGGTCACAACAAGTAATGGTGGCAGTGTTGGATGTTGTGGGTCACACAAGTAATGGTGGCAGTGTGTGGATGTTGTGGGTCACACAAGTAATGGTGGCAGTGTGTGGATGTTGTGGGTCACACAAGTAATGGTGGCAGTGTGTGGATGTTGTGGGTCACACAAGAAATTTGGTGGCAGTGTGTGGATGTTGTGGGTCACACAAGTAATGGTGGCAGTGTGTGGATGTTGTGGGTCACACAAGTAATGGTGGCAGTGTGTGGATGTTGTGGGTCACACAAGTAATGGTGGCAGTGTGTGGATGTTGTGGGTCACACAAGTAATGGTGGCAGTGTGTGGATGTTGTGGGTCACACAAGTAATGGTGGCAGTGTGTGGATGTTGTGGGTCACACAAGTAATGGTGGCAGTGTGTGGATGTTGTGGGTCACACAAGTAATGGTGGCAGTGTGTGGATGTTGTGGGTCACACAAGTAATGGTGGCAGTGTGTGGATGTTGTGGGTCACACAAGTAATGGTGGCAGTGTGTGGATGTTGTGGGTCACACAAGTAATGGTGGCAGTGTGTGGATGTTGTGGGTCACACAAGTAATGGTGGCAGTGTGTGGATGTTGTGGGTCACACAAGTAATGGTGGCAGTGTGTGGATGTTGTGGGTCACACAAGTAATGGTGGCAGTGTGTGGAACTGCCTCTTGCGGGCGTCAAGTATACATGTAACGTGTATGATATGGCACCGTCTATTATTGCATCGAAGTAATTACGAAATTATGTCTTAAAATGGAATTAAAAACACCCCATCTTCTCTCATACACACATTAACGACAACAACCACATACTCACCACACACATACACACACAACCTACACAACGCACACACACACACCACACACACAACCACACATCACACACACACACACACACCACACACACACAACAATACCACACCACACACACACCCACACACACCACACCACACACACACACACACCACCACACACCACCACAACACACACACACACACACACACACACACACACACCACACACACACCCACACACACACACACTAACACTCACACACACAACACACACACACACCACACACACTAACACACACACGCACACACACACACCTACCACACACACACACTCACACCACACACACAATCACACTCAACCAACACACACACACCAACACACACACACCACACACAACGCACACATACACCACCACAGCACAAGTCACTACACATCACACACAACACTATCACACCACACACAGCAACACACCACAACACACAACACACACACACACACACACACAACACACACACACACCACACATCACACCACACACACACACACACACACACCATCACACCACACACACACAACCCCACACACAACACTACCACACACACAATCACACCCACACACGACACACACATCACACACACACCACACACACATCACACACACACACACACCCACATGCCACACACACACACACACTACACCACCACACACACAACCACACACACTGACACCACACACACACAACACCACACACACACCCACACCACACACACACACACACACACCACTGACACACACATCACACACACACAGCACACACTCACGACACACCCACACTACACACACCAACACACACACACACAACAACAACGTGCACACCGCACACGTGCCAACACACACACGCGACACACACACACACACACACACACACATCAACACACACACACACAACACACACACACACACATGCACACACAACACCACACACAACCACACAACACAACACACACATCCACACACACACACACACACACACACACACACACCACACACACACACACACACACACACACACACACACCACACACACACACACACACCACACACACACACAGTGGCGGCTGTGTTTGCTGTTGGAGATCTTTGAGATGTGTTTTGGTAATAGTCCTTGGCTACGACTACTAGTCCAAAATGAGAAGAGGCGGGGCAAGAGCTGAGAGTCGACCCCTGCAACATATAAGTGAGTTCTCTCTCTCTCTCTCTCTCTCTCTCTCTCTCTCTCCCTCTCTCTCTCTCTCTCTCTCTCTCAGAATTTACTATAATCAAGTATTCTTGATTACGGGTGTATATGGAACATACACTTTTAGTGACCCTTGTGTAACCGATAGGCTTTAAACCTCACAAACCCAGTAAATCAAGAATTTATTCTAAATACATTTTACACAAAAATTATATCAATAAAAACTTGTATGAAATGAATTCCAGATTTTAAGAAATATAAATTATGAAAACTGAGCTGCTGTCGTAGTTTTGAAAAAAAAAAAAATAAGATATGATAACTATTTACAAAGTCGTAACAAATTTAATAAGCAACAAGGATGTTTTAAAGTTAGCAACAAGGGAGAGAAGAGGATAAAAGCAACGTAAAATAAAACCTGGGAACGGGTGTGTAAGTGAAAGAAAATCCAAAAGGAGGGTGTTTGTGCATGTTGATTAAACTGAGTAAATTGCATAGAGAACAAGTGACAGAGAGAGACTGGTAACGATGTCGAGTTTGCTGCTGGAGATGTTTTTGGCAATAGAGTTGTTGGCTAGGACTACTAGTCCAAAATACTCAGCCTACCTTGATAGTAACACCTGTGTTCACTTGTCTCACTAACGTGGACAACTTTGGTACAAGTTTCCTCCACAGGGCACGACACGTCATAAAATAAACGGAACAGAAAAAGAAACGTCTTCACTCTTATAACTAAGAACCCCAAACCAGCTAAAATGTATATCCTGTCAAAGATCCACAAACCCGGGATCCCACCGAGACCATATATCCTCCGGAAGAAGCAGCATCCTTCACGAGATAGCGCACGTTCTAACTGAACACGTATCCAGACTCTTAGGCATAATCAGTCCAGTCGATCTTAAACATTAAGGAAAAAAGCAACCAAATTTACAAAATCAGCATTAAGTAAAACTAACACCTCTCTCTCTCTCTCTCTCTCTCTCTCTTCTCTCTCTCTCTCTCTCTCTTCTCTCTCTCTCTCTCTCTCTCTCTCTCCAAAGGTGCTTACTTCCCAAGCCACTGAACTCTTGTAATGTAAAAGTGATGATTCCCTTGATTTATCTACTGCTGTCCACGACTTCATGGACCTCATTGAGTTAGACATCAAATTATTTAATTATTTTTTTTTTCCACAGGACTCCTTTTCCCGATATATCGTTAACATACCTACGACTTTTCTTTCAAGATCAGTCCTAGCAAACCCAATATGGAACAACTTAAAGCTGAATGTTTTTTTTCTTCCATCATCCGCTCTCTTGTCACTTGGCTTCGCCATGTCGACGACAGGGATAAGATTTAACGTCATCTTCCTTTCCTAGACGTTTTGCTCTGCTAATCTGACAACAATGTCGTTCGAAAACCTGTCGGAAACCCACCAAACAACAAGATTAGTCGTGCAACATTTGGGAATCATCATCTATATTTTACTGAAGACACTGGCTGGCGAAACATTTCCTAAAGATACCCAAATGTAGCACAAGTGTGTCAAGGTCTTCTAAACACAAGATCACTCACACCACGACACCGTTACTCTTAAAAGACCTGCAATACAGAACTTCTTGGAGAAAGACTGTCCTCTCCTTTGACATACCTTCACCAAACTACACTACCCTCGATATTTCATTACTCTTGTGATGACAAATTATGCCCATAAAATCAACACATCCAGACTCGTAGATGCATAGAGATGTACTTTCCCCAACAACTCTATTGCCAAACACACCTCAGGATTTTATCCAAACTCAGCACTGTTTCTAATACCATCAGGATATCACCAGACAAACACTGCCAATATAACTACTACAGGGGTATACACCTTGCCATGTAACAAAAATCTACATAAGTGAGACACTGAGAAATCTTCCAACGAAGAACCTTGAAGGACTCGACATGACTCACGAAATCATAATGACACGATTGCAAACAAACCATACCACGGGTGAGGTTAGAATCCGCGATCACGAGAGCCACAAAACACTCCTCCAGACGCGACGGTCTGGAGTTTTGTGACTCTGTGATCGCGGGTTCTAACCCCACCTATGATATGGTTTGAAGAACTCAAATAGAGCAGACGATCTTGACAAGTCATATATTTCATAATCAGATAAATTGGAATGGCATACTAAATGCCAAAAAGGATCACACCCTGAGAAGAGGAATAGTTGAGTATCCCCCTCGTCAGCTTCCCCAGCAACTTCAACCACAAGGTATCCCCGTATTGCATAACCCCAGCTCCCCTCACCTCGATGCACGAGACTGGAATAGTGCAGAGTGAGGCATAAGTTTATAATGCACTTAAATATCAGCAGTGAAGGTTTGAATCTGAGGTATTCACTGGTCATGTATAAATTAATATTATCATTCCTTCAATAAAAATGCCAAATGAAGACATTCACAAGCCAAATCTAATTCAAAACTTCTAATAAACACCATCTATGAAGCTAAACTGAAAAAACGAACAGTATTATTTCATGTAGTATATATATATATATATATATATATATATATAATATATATATATATATATATATATATATATATATAATTAATATATATTATAATTATTAACAAACCACAAGGGGAGTTGAGTGATAGCTCTAGGTCTCCTTTACTAGAATTATTTGTTTGTGACTTGAAAAAGTCCACTATTTGGGCGAAACGTCGACAATAAAGATTCTATATAAGGAAGTTTGTGCTTATGCGCATTTGTTTTTACAGAGATACAAGACTTCGCCGTAAGTACGTAAATATTTATTTATTTTTAATACATGTAAATGAAGCAAGTCTTGCCTCTAAAAGCTTTACAATTTTATTTGTATCACCAAAGATCTTAATTTAATTCAGAACAGCCTAGGATAATTCTTTTTTCCATTACTTTTATACAAAGGAGATGAAGGGAGGGAAGAATATATAAAGGAATAGGAGGAACAGTAGGTATTTAAACTTTCTGGTAATGTATCGTGGATGCAGTGAACAACAGGATCACCAGTGAGGTGCAGTGAACAACAGGATCACCAGTGAGGTGCAGTGAACAACAGGAACACCAGTGAGGTGCAGTGAACAACAGGATCACCAGTGAGGTGCAGTGAACAACAGGATCACCAGTGAGGTGCAGTGAACAACAGGATCACCAGTGAGGTGCAGTGAACAACAGTATCACCAGTGAGGTGCAGTGAACAACGGGCAGGATCACCAGTGAGGTGCAGTGAACAACAGGATCACCAGTGAGGTGCAGTGAACAACAGGATCACCAGTGAGGTGCAGTGAACAACGGGCAGGATCACCAGTGAGGTGCAGTGAACAACGGGCAGGATCACCAGTGAGGTGCAGTGAACAACGGGCAGGATCACCAGTGAGGTGCAGTGAACAACGGGCAGGATCACCAGTGAGGTGCAGTGAACAAGGGGCAGGATCACCAGTGAGGTGCAGTGAACAACGGGCAGGATCACCAGTGAGGTGCAGTGAACAACGGGCAGGATCACCAGTGAGGTGCAGTGAACAACGGGCAGGATCACCAGTGAGGTGCAGTGAACAACGGGCAGGATCACCAGTGAGGTGCAGTGAACAACGGGCAGGATCACCAGTGAGGTGCAGTGAACAACGGGCAGGATCACCAGTGAGGTGCAGTGAACAACGGGCAGGATCACCAGTGAGGTGCAGTTTGATAAATGACACACTTTCGCACTATTTTGGTATCATTATTCTGGAAACGTTTCGCAATGCAGTGGCTTTTTAGTCCAGTGCAGAAAAAGTGGGAATAAGAAGAGTTGGAGGTAATCAGTCCCTCAGCCAATCTTGACACAATCAGTCCACCAATCTTGACACAGAGGTGTTGTTTCAATCTTCGAAGTAATCTCGCTAAACTGCTAAGATCGCCAGGGAGAACTAATGTAGTTTGGTGGTTGAGCATCTAAACTAGTGCCGGTCAATACCAACACACTGTATATGAGGTCACTTTTTTTAATAAATATTGCATTCATCGGAGCTATCAGTTTAAAGTTGAACTGAAATTCTGCCGGACGATGGAGACTAAATAATGATTGTATCATGATTAACTAAAATTTACTGGGAAATCAGGTGAGGGGGAAAAGTCTAACCCATAGTCTGGTCCAATAGCATGGCACATGCCCTAACATGGCTGGTCCACTAGCATGGCACATGCCCTAACATGGCTGGTTTCCCCTAGCATGGCACATGCCCTAACATGGCTGGTCCACTAGCATGGCACATGCCCTAACATGGCTGGTCCACTAGCATGGCACATGCCCTAACATGGCTGGTCCACTAGCATGGCACATGCCCTAACATGGCTGGTCCACTAGCATGGCACATGCCCTAACATGGCTGGTCCACTAGCATGGCACATGCCCTAACATGGCTGGTCCACTAGCATTGCACATGCCCCCAACATGGGCTGGTCCACTAGCATGGCACATGCCTAACATGGCTGGTCCACTAGCATGGCAACATGCCCTAACATGGCTGGTCACTTTGCAGGCACATGCCCTAAACATGGCTGGTTTCACTAGCATGGCACATGCCCTAACATGGTGGTTTCCCCGTAGCATGACACATGCCCTAAATGGCTGGTCCACTAAGCAGGCCACATGCCCTAACATGGCTGTCCACTAGCTGGCACATGCCCTAACATGGCTGGTTTCCCCTAGCATGGCACATGCCTAACAGGTGGTCCACTAGCATGGCACATGCCCAAGAGGCTGGTTCCACTACATGGCACTGCCCTAACATGGCTGGTCCACTAGCATGCACATCCCTAAATGGCTGGTCCACTAGTCATGGACATGCCCTAACTTGGCTGTCCTTAGCTTGGCTGGTCCACGTGCATGGCGCATGCCCTTACAGGCTGGTCCACTAGCATGGACATCCCTAACATGGCTGGTTCACTACTTGGCTGGTTCACTAGCTTGGCTGGTCCCTAGCATGCACATGCCCCAACATGGCTGGTCACTACCTTGGCTGGTCCCCTAGCATGGCACTGCCCTAACATGGCTGGTCCACTAGTCTGCCAGGTACCCTAGCATGGATTGCACCTCGTACCTAGCATGCTGTACACCTAAATATACCATCAACAATAGAAATTATAACTGACTGCAAAACCTTGAGGCAGAGTGTAAACAGAAATTAATGTTATGACAAGCTGTCGTGGAATTACACGTACAAGCATAAGTATCGTAAAAATTCTACGTGTGGTAGCAACTACGCAGCAGACCACCACTGGCAACTATAAAAAAAAATCCATCAGAACTCACACACATCAAATAATTCTGCTAAATCGTTCAACCTGTGAGTACAGTTCAGTGGTACACAGTGGAAGGGGTCAGGGAGAGAGAAGGAAGCTGTAATGTTCACTCTCCCGTCCACTTAACGAGACAGTATATCACTGCTGTTATGACAATCAAATGGGGCGTTTAACGAGTCTTAGACAGTGATTATCTGACTTTGTCTTCTGTACTTGGTGTGTCCCCGTTTTGTGTTCGCGCGTCGAGAGTTTTCATTATGTTATATATCTTTAATTTGGCCTTATCTTTGTTATAATTGGTTAAATTTGTATTAATAGAGGACAGTCTAATCTAACCTAAATAACGTAAATAGAGATATTTCCTGCAAGTCGTCAATACAAAAAAAAAAAAGATACACATACAAACTAGCGCGAGCTATCAAGTGACCCTTAAAAAACAAACACCAATAACACACTAAAAAAGCAGAAGAGTTGAAAATACCTCGCAGCAGCAGAATACAAAGGATAGCTACAACTAAAGGAGAAGGAACACACACGAGGTATTCTGAGTGGACGCAACAGGTCAACATCGCTATGAGAGTACATCCGTTAGCGGTTTTGTGGAACTGTCTTCCCCACGACCCGGCCTCAGACCAGGTCTCCATGGATCAAAATGAAAAATCAAAATCAAATTTTTTATTTCTTTGTGTAGTATACAAACTGTAGCTTACACAGAGAGTCACTAACATCAAGAGCATTTCGAACAAATGCTGTTCTTTGGACATTTAGTAATTTAAGAGAGGAGGTATTACTAGCACCTTGCTCCTGAGATTTGTTACCTCTTATGACACGCCTGGCTTATGGAGGAAGGATTCTTCTCCACTTATTAAGTTATAAACAAAAATATCAGAGGAAGACAAGCAAATTGGACAACTAAGTTGTCCCCGTCACGGGATACTTAATATTGCCCTTCGATTATAGGCAAAGAGGGAGCACCAGGAATTATCTCTACCTCTGTAAACACACATCATTGAGGCAGGTAGTCCTCTTAAATCACGTTCACCATTTCAGTTGTAAAGACAGTCAAATAGGAGACTGATGAAGGACCTTGAACAGTGAAAATCTGACAGCTGCGTATCACTTTTTATCGCCTTAATCTTGTATTCATTTTTTCTCGTTGGGGTTTGTTATAACAGGTTATTGTTATAACAGGTTATTGTTATAACAGGTTATTGTTATAACAGGTTATTCTTTTTGGATAGAACACAACCTAAACTACCTGGAGGACTTTGTATAAGGACTTTCAAGAAACTAGTGAGACTGTGTATAGACCTTAAAGAAGGTAATGGAAATAGTGTATATGAATCTTACAAAGACAGGTGAAGACAATTTATATGAACCTTCAAGAGGCAAATGTTTTATCTTGCATAGCTTTTCCAGCTTGTTGCCCTGAGCACACTAAGAACACCACCAGGGACCCGGTGAACACTGTAAAGCACGTTAGCAACCATCCCCTCACCCACTATAATCATCCCCAGCAAAGAGGATTATATGACCATGGACAAGGCCCCTGCACTGTGTCGAATCCGATAACTGAAGTACTTCTGTACCAGGACGGTATTAGATGTGAATGGAAGTACTACTTATGTACCAGGACGGTATTAGATGTGAACGGAAGAAGTACCTCTGTACCAGGACGGTATTAGATGTGAACGGAAGAAGTACTTCTGTACCAGGACGGTATTAGATGTGAACGGAAGTACCTCTGTACCAGGACGGTATTAGATGTGAACGGAAGAAGTACTTCTGTACCAGGACGGTATTGGATGTGAATGGAAGTTGCTGTCACCAAAATGACATCCCTCTCTATGCTATTAGCTATTAGGACTTAAATTATTCAGGAAGGGGGGGGGACATTTCCATATATATATGCTGATCTGTATACAGGATGGTAATGTTATCGTCCGGTGATATTAAAGGTCGATGTTCTTTAGGGTATGGTAACATATTTTAAAAATGGGTTCTGACAAGCATAATATTGATGATTTAAGACGCATGTGCAACAGCTGGCGTAATCAGTCTCTCAACCTTGGGGATATGAGGTGGTCAGTCCCTCAGCCTGGAGAAGAGTTCAGCTTCATGGGGCTGAGCTCTCCTTCAGGCTGAGGGACTGACCACCTCAAATACTTTTTCTCCAAGGTTGATGGACTGATTATATCATCTTATTTCATTACTACTGTTCCCTCTATATTTGACTGAAGAAGCCTACTGTCTAGGCGAAACGTTTCAATAATAGACACCCAACTGTTGCACATGTCTTAACCATTTTTTCCACTTTTTTGTAATTATCCATTCCTCTCTCCATACATTTATTTAGCACCATTATCAGAATTTCTCATTACTTCGTATTTCTTGCATTACGCCTCTACGCTCTTGTTGTATGACCCCTACAGGATTGCAGCTCTCCACATTTACATACGATAATCTGCTGTCATAAAACCATAAAGAAAGAACACTGCAGCAGGCCTATTGGCCTATGCGAGGCAGGTCCAATTCTCCCACCGGCTTAAGTCAATGCCACGATAGTTTAAATTATTAATAACAAGAAATATATACACTTGCAGAAATGAAAGACGAGGTACTGACCACTACAAGTGCGAGGGAAGCTCCCCAGGAGGCGGTGCAGTATAGAGCAGTGTGTAAGGGCCGGCGGTGGAGGAGGGATCCCAGTAGTCTGCCTGTTAGTGCTAGTAACCAGCAGCACGACACCAGATGAAGGAAATGGAGCAGCAGACCCACCACACCACACACCCATGCCTTCCCAGTGGCCTGCAGGAACAACAACAACACGCACTCGTTAACACACGTCACCAGACAGGTGTGATTGGGGAAAAAATGAGGTTTGAGTGGAGGAATGTGAGGTGTTAGGGTAAAACGTGAGGCGTGTAAAATGTAGTGGGGGGAGACACGATAGGTGTGAGTGGGGGAAAATGCGTGAGGTGTGAGTGGGGAAAATTCGTGAGGTGTGAGTGGCGGGAGGACACGCTAGGTGTGAGTGGGAGGAAAATGCGTGAGGTGTGAGTGGGGGACAACACGCTAGGTGTGAGTTGGGAAAAAGTGTAAATAGGGAAACGCGTGGTGTGAGCACTAAAAATTAAAAGAGCATACAGACAACAGATGTGAACAGAAAACGGTATTCTGTTTAAAAAACGGAAGTCAAAAGTCAGTAGTTAGAAAATACCTGTTGGTGAACATATTACTTAATACCTGCAAGAAAGAAACATTAGCACATGCAAAAAGAGAACCATTAACACCTGAAAGAAAGAGAGAGAGAGAGAGAGAGAGAGAGAGAGAGAGAGAGAGAGAGAGAGTCATTAACACCTGTAACAAAGAACCATTAATATCTGAGAGAGAACCATTAACACCTGCAAGAGAGAAGCACTAACACCTGCCAAGAAAAACTAACACTCGAGAAAACTATTTACATGACATCTAAACTAAAAACCTGTTAATTAACACCTGCAAAAAGCAACACCTGTGAGGACAAAATTCTCAACACCTTCAAGACAACTATTAACACCTGCAAGAAGAACGAGATTAAAATTATATCTTAAATCACAATTTTATTATTTAAAACCAAACATTACAGTCGAGTAAAGAAAATGGGAATAATGAATATAATAACGAAGATAAAGAAAACAGGAACAAACACTATAATAGCCAAGATATAGAAAACGGGTTTAGGACGACTACTGATCATTTAAATAAACAAAAGAATAGTTACCCAACAAAACACAATAAAGACGAGGAAATAAATAATAACTTTATTTCTACATGTACAAGGTATACAGACCATAGCTGACATCAATGACATACTACTATATAGAAAGTCCCTTGTTATGCAGAGCATTTCGGGCAAATTAGGTCAGTTTTGTCCCAGGATGCGACCCACGCCAGTCCGCTAACACTCACGTACCCATTTTACTAATGGGTGAACACACAACCGGTGTAAGGAAACACGCCCAGTGTTTCTACCCCTCGCCGGGAATCGAACCCGGATCCTCACCGTGTGAAGCGAGAGCTCTTTCCACCAGGCCACGGGACACCGTAAATACAACAGAATAAAAGCTAAAAGAGAATAGAATAAGAGAAGCACAGCCAGTGACTGTCACAACGTTTTACACTAGCTGGTGGCACTGACTTTATGCAGCTCTAATTGGAGGGGGAGGGGCGAAACGTTGCTGATATAGCTGGTGTGCATAGAAACTTTGCTCCAATAAGAGCTGTGTATTGAAATGTTGCTGCAGTAAGAGCTCTATATTGAAATGTTGCTGCAGTAAGAGCTCTATATTGAAATGTTGCTGCAGTAAGAGCTCTATATTGAAATGTTGCTGCAGTAAGAGCTCTATATTGAATCGTTGCTGCAATAAGAGCTCTGCAGTGAAATGTTGCTGCAGTGAGAGCTCTACACACACACTTTCCCACAAGCAAGCTTGCTTTGTACCCACGTGGGCGGTACCAAGAGCTACGCCTTTTCACCCCACGGTAATTACATAGCCTCTGACCTGTATAGTGTTCACTCTTAATCACAAATAATGTAAATAGATTTAGTTTAAATCTGTTTACACTTTGTTATTTTGAGTTAAAAACATTTGTATTTAATGTCTACTTTACTTTCAACAATGCATAATCTAATTAAGATAACTAAAAGCGGTAGAATACGAAGCAACGGCGGGAGAAAAAATGATTATTGTACGGAATGAGGCCTGATTAATATTTTTTCAATTACTGCCAGTGGGGCGAAAAAGCCACCAGCGTGAAACGAGGTCAGGGATCGAGGCCACCGGCGATGTTTCAACTCCAAAGGAATACTGGAAGCGAAGAATTATTACGTTCGTTCTGTTGTATAAGGGAATAGAAAATGGAACTAGGTTCGGTTACATGGATCCCAGTGGATTTAAGTCACTTTGACTGAATTTTTTTTTTTGGGGTTATCCTAGCTAATCTACACACATGTTGCTATGTATGATTTACGTAACTGTATGTGTACCTGTACGTGTATAAACTTAGGTACGCTGGTGAATGGAGCGGAGCGACACAGCTGCGTGGGAAAGGCAGTGATGCGTCTCTCTGTGTCACAGTACACGGAATACCCAGGCGGAGGATTTACAACACTGAATAACGTTGAAGAAAATAGGGCTTGTATGTAAAGGTGCCATGTTAATTTTTTTACATGACCTAAATATGGTTGTCCTGGCGCTAGTATACCAAGAGATCAATCACAGTATGACAGGGCAAGGCTTGTTTAAGTAAGGTTGCATAAATTACACACAGGTGGAGAGAGAGATGCGTGAAATGTGCAGGCAATGCTTGCTAAAACCAGGCAACAAGCACAGATGATGACACAGGAAAGTGTAGGCAGTAATGTAAATGCAATACAAATTAAAATTATATATAATGTAAAACTGGTCAATTAGCAAGAACTCATTTAAAATTAAGTCCTTTCTGAAATTTTCTCTTATACGTTTAAAGATATATTTTTTTCATTAATGTTGATGTAAAAATTTTTAATTTTGCACCAAAAGAATCTTAGAAAACTTACCTAACCTTATTATAACAAGAATAATTTATTTTAGCCTAACCCAACTAAATATATTTTAGATTTGTTTACAATAATTTAATACTATGGATAATGAGAACCTTCAAAACTAGGGAGGCCAAGCCCATGATGACACTCTTCAGGTCACTTGTTCTATCTAGGCTGGAATATTGCTGCACACTAACAGCACCTTTCAAGGCAGGTGAAATTGCCGACCTAGAAAATGTACAGAGAACTTTCACGGCGCGCATAACGGAGATAAAACACCTCAATTACTGGGAGCGCTTGAGGTTCCTAAACCTGTATTCCCTGGAACGCAGGCGGGAGAGATACATGATTATATACACCTGGAAAATCCTAGAGGGACTAGTACCGAACTTGCACACGAAAATCACTCACTACGAAAGCAAAAGACTTGGCAGACGATGCAACATCCCCCCAATGAAAAGCAGGGGTGTCACTAGCACGTTAAGAGACCATACAATAAGTGTCAGGGGCCCGAGACTGTTCAACTGCCTCCCAGCATACATAAGGGGGATTACCAACAGACCCCTGGCAGTCTTCAAGCTGGCACTGGACAAGCACCTAAAGTCGGTTCCTGACCAGCCGGGCTGTGGCTCGTACGTTGGTTTGCGTGCAGCCAGCAGCAACAGCCTGGTTGATCAGGCTCTGATCCACCAGGAGGCCTGGTCACAGACCGGGCCGCGGGGGCGTTGACCCCCGGAACTCTCTCCAGGTAAACTCCAGGTAAACTAAACAAACACAGTGAAATATATTTTTTCGTTAGGTTCAGAATGATTTTGGCGAAATTATTGCATACACAAATTTTCACTTGTCTTATATGGCAAGACGAGCGTTGCTATTTAAGCCAAGATCACAAGTTCTGCCTATTCGGCACGACATTATAATATATATATTATAAATATATTATAATATATTATATATATATATATATATAAAATATATTATTACCTAAACAGGTAATGTCCCACAAAGGTTCGCTCAAGAAATCACATCAATAAGAATTAAAACAAAGACTTCACTCCATAAGAATGTTCCCACATAAGTTCGCTCTACAAGTTACGTTACTCAGCATAAAAAAAAATCAGTAACTTATAAGACAAGAGAAACCAGTGAGAATCCCACCAAGGTTCGTTCAAGAGGTCAGTGTGCAAGACAGAATCAGACTAACGTATTGACCCACAATTACCTTGGAGTTTTCCGTCCATCTCTATTCCATTGACTGACGGTATCTAACTTTCGCCTCCTTCGTCCCTGATTCTCCACCTGGAATCCTCTTTATTTCCAAGACTGGCTTACGAAACCTTGACCCACATACGGAATCTAGATATTGCGAGATTGTGTAAATAAAATTCCCGTACCAGTGTATAAAATAGCTTGTAAATAAATTATAACACATGTGCAACACTTTGGTATCTACTGTGGAAACGTTTCGCCACGCAGTGGCTTCATCAGTTAAGTACTAAGACGAGTAATGGAGATCAGAAGGAGTTTGAGGTAATCAGTCCCTCAGGCTGGAGTTCATGTAATCAGTCCATCAATGTTGCTGGATTGAATACCTCAAACTTCTTATGATCTTCACCATTTTTCTTTGTATTGAACTGATGAAGACACTGTGTGGCGAAACGTTTCCATGAAGTCAGTGTGGCAAAACGTTTCCATGAAGTCACTGTGTGGCGAAACGTTTCCACAATAAAGATACCCAAGTGTTGCAGATGTGTCTAATTTATGAACTCTTCGGTTCTCTGAATCATTTATCTACAAGTTTGTAAATACACAAGATGGCCGTTTTATTCACTATCGTTATATAAAATATATAAATCTCTCTCCCGCTCAGTGTTGGTAGTAGAGAATCTGCTTTAGAAACTTATCTTGGTACGGAATCAATCGACTTCAATTCCACATCAAAGACACCTAAGCAATATCAGCACAAAGTCGTTCCTGGAAGCAGAAATCCAGTTTACAATAGTAATCTTCAGCATCCATATGAAGCTCGCCTCTCTCAATGCTTCGCAGAGTCTCTGACGATTATCAGTCCCTTAGATCCTGGAATGTTACCGTAGTTCTCCTCCCGCTCGGGACCGTTCAACACATTCCAGGTTTATCTCTTCCACATTTCGCTCTTTGAGTGAGAGAACAGACAACTGGAGGAGCCTTCATTAAGCCTCAAGATTCCCGGGTAAAGGCAAAACGTTCCAGCCAAGTGCCT